CATGTTCGCATACATTCTTCTCAGAAAGAAGATTTTGTTATTCCCAAAGTGACGTCAAAAGCCAACTCGTCCCATTCTCCGCTGTTCCTCGGTCGTGAACATGGAAAAGGGCAAATTTAAAAACTTTAAAAATTCATAGAAAATTAACGAAAATAGCTACAACGATAATTTTTTCGCAGTGGTGATCAGGAGAAAAAGGAAATTTATATTAGCGAAAAGAATTTTTTGGGGTTAGTGGCACTTTAATTATATTAATATACCGTCGTTTTCACCTAACCGTGGACGGAAAATTTCGATTACTAACTACTGGTGCAACTTCAAACCAGGCCATCCTCTGTCTAAGGATTAGAGAAATAAGGAAAAACGAGGAAAACCGCTGTTTTTTTCCGTCAACTGACCATGTTTAGATAAAATCGACGGTATTAGCATTTTTTTCTGATTTGAATATTCCTGATGTTATGACTAACGTTACCTCTCCTCTAAAAATAATATTTTAAATAATAAAGAAAAAATTAAAGGGAATTTAGCCTGATAGACAGAAAATGGTTTACTTCGCCAATAAAGCCATGTAATACAATTGTATATTCAAAGATCTGAATTTCAAAGAGTTTTAAATTTTTTATTAGCTGTTTTAAATTCATGAAAAAACTATGCATGATAATGATTATGATTGCGGAAGTTATGAGTCAAATATTAAACGAGGTCTAGACAGCGGTTGCAAAAGTCGTTGTCCAACCCGGCAATGTTTAAAACGTGAAAACTGATTATTCAAACTTTGTTTCACCATACCCATCTCTATAGACTACGTCCAAACACCACCTGAAGAGCAACAGCGAGTTAGACTATACTTAGAGGTAGGTTTAAACTCTGTCACCAATGCAGGAAGTTCTGATTGTTTTGATATTTTAGGCAACTGGAATTTTCGAGAGGGCTATGGGCGAAATTATTTGGTGTTTCTGTGTTTGCTGCATGTACAGTAATTCACAACGTTTCAAGGGCAATCGCGAAGCGATGACTCTGATTTTCTGTTATTTCACATTTAAAATTGTCCTCATCGCATCTTCTGTTATAGGAAATTAGGCGCGTCTTCTGCGTCATCATCAACGATAACTACGGTAGCTTTATTTGCATGACCGTAAAAGCATTAAGTCTTACAAAAACTTTTGTAAACTAAAACTAAAATGTGATGATTATCTTGATCATATAATATAAGGTTTTGATGTAGCGATCAAGTTACATCGGTTTGATTTAAAAGATCAAAATCTTCCTCGCTAAAGGAAGTTGTTCGACCGTATTTATTAGTGGCCATGTCGACTCAAAAACTTCAATTAAAATGTGCATAACATATAGATTTAGCCAAGCCTAAAAGCGGAATAAATTAACCTGCCTTGAGCTTATCATTCAATCGAAAACAGCTAGTACTTGGTCAGCGGTCAACTTTAAAAACCTACCTGATCTCGATGAGCTCTAAACCTGAGCCCTCGATATGGTCACGTGATACTGGTCAGTGGATATCTTGTTTTGACCGGTGTCGATCAGTTGACCACAACAGAGACGTCCAGTATCAAAAATGCACGCTGTAAACCAAGGCTACATGACTTGGTCTTAGCGATCCATGCCGCTAGCCATGTTCACCATGAAAAAGAGTTGCTCTCTATTTTTATGCATGCATGTGGTTCTGTTCCTATAGTTATGGTGCTCCGCTTTGCGGTCCTTCAACAAACCATGCATTGCCTCATAAGACATTGTTTAGCCATTGACTGGAAAAATCACGGTTCGAACGCATTTTAATCATTTTAACCATTGTTTGACCGTCGTCTGTAAGCTTCTATAGAGACAATCATCTAAAACGCGAATTAGCGTTTAACAATGTCTAACTTTAAACTTCATTAAAATAACCGGCCTTATAAGTTTAGCGTAAATACCTTGATGATAATTTTTAAGAATTCACTTTATTAGAAGCAGCTGAAAGGAAATCGCAACGAAAAAATATCGTCTGACAGTATCTGGAAGCACCTCGTTGATACTGGACAATACATTTATGCTTGAGGAAAGAAAGGACTGTTGCTCGAAACACTACGAACAGCTCGTGAATATTCGGTCTAATCGTGCGTCAGAAATTATTGGTCAAGCTATAAACGTGATGTTTGTTTCTTCATACCTAACAGCCATGTGAAAACCCAAATCGGAAAATTCAGCCAATAGTTAAAACAACATAGCATGTTGACCCATTGTCTGCAGGAAGTCTTCTACGAAAACAATAACTGAGTTTCCATTAGCAAAAGTTTCTTTAGAATATCTCCTGGTATTTTTGCCAACATCATAGAATTTACCCTCTCTGATATGATAGAAAGAACAGTGCGTGGAAACCAAGAGTTGGATTAGAAACGTAATGTTTACTTTTTTGATTCCTGACAGATGGAAATCGAAACGGGAAAATGTTCAACTAATTATCATTTAACACGCTGAAGCAATTGGGATATTATTTACATTTAATTCTTCTATTTATAATTAGTCAACATCAAATTTATATTTGCAGTGTGACTGTTCTGTATTCGCAATAAGACCACTCACCAGACATTTTTACATGTAAAAAAGCTTCGTCTTCTATTGAAAAGGTATGTTTAGTGACTTTCTAATCTTCTTGAATGATTCTTTTTATGGCTGTAGGCAGGGGACTCATGTTCTTGCTGAAGGCTAATCCTCTTCTTAGCGACGAAACTGTTTTGTCAAACCCGGCCGTTCTGTTTTGCCAGTGCTGGGTGACCTTGGTTGGTTGCTGTTTGACCGAGCGTTTTAGTTAAATTCAAAGTCACTTAAACCTTTAAATCAAAAGAAGTTTTGCGGTCGTGTCAGGTTTTAGTCAATTTATAAGTAGCAGTTTTAATTTATACGGTACTTCAGTAATAGGCTGAAAAAGCAATATCTGATGATCAGTAATTAAATCCAAGTCTGATCTCGGGTCTCTGGGTTCTGTTGGTAAGGGTAAGTATTTCATGCAGTTATTTACGTTACAAAAATAGAGAAAACAGCTGCAAAATTAAAATTTTGTTTCTCGAGTTCGTTAATAGAGATCCTGAAGCCGTTAAGAGCAGCTTCGTCTAAATATCAACTAGACTTGGAAATAGCGAAAAAATCGAATTTCTTCAAACTCGCCCAGAATGAAGCCCTACGGGTACTAGT